GATGGATGGATGGATGGATGGATGGATTGATGGATAGATAGATAGATGGATGGATGGATAGATAGATAGAGAGATAGCTCTTCAGTAATCCCATAGTCCGACAGGATTGAGCAGTAGAAGATGAATGTCCCATCACTGATCACTGTGCAGGTGAGTGAAGCCGTCTGGTGCTACAAGAACCAGGTCTGGAGTCTCTCCCTCAGTACTGGAGACCACTGGACAGGAGACAAGATCTGGCTTGCTACTGGCTGCAAACTTGATGTAAACCAAGACCCACTGCTGTCTGGGGTGATGAAGGAATTCCCAGTACAGGTGAGTTACTGGGGAAAATATGATTTCTAACCATACTGTATATATGTGTCGTAAAGTTCAGGCCAAACGTTTTGGTGTTTTCCTAATAAAGGTGATCGATGGCTGGCCGTGCATCACTGAGGGTTTACAGTGGGCAGAGGGGTGTCCACTTTATCTGATGGGACAGTACACAGCTCTACAGGTGTGTTGCGGAATTGCATTTCTGCGCAGACATTAGGAAGCTTGTGTTATTTATTTACACACGTGTATTCATATACAGGTTGGACCACATGCTGTAAATCTGGCTGGTGGACAGGCGGCCAGTGTGAGAATCGCCAAAGACATTAGACAACAGAAAAACCCAGCTGACCCCAGAAATGGAGAGAAGTCTAAAACTGAAGACTACATTCAACACATGCATGGTCTTTTATGGCTTTGACATCACGCAGGCTAAAACCTAAAAATGTGAAATAAAATGAACTCTACAGAGGGTCCTCGGCTTACGTCGTCCTCCTTCTATGGCTTTTGTGGTTCATTTTTACATATATATTTATATATATTTCTTTCTTTCTGTCTGTGTTGAGGTTCAATAGGAAAACGTAATGTAAATGTAAATATAAATATATACGTTTATTTGCTAATGTTGGTTGTCAGGTGTATTTTCATTTGTGGATTAAAATGGACTTTCCTTGATCACCTTGTATTTATCTCTGCTAAACATTATTTATGCAACATATGGGTTATTTGTTCTATTGTTATGCTACTTGTGGTCACTGCTACTGATTTATGTATATACAACGGTTCGTTGTAAAACAAACTGAAAATATCCACAAGTGAGGAAAAAAAGCGCACCGAAGAAAGCATAGTGTATGTAGTGGACCACCTGCATTTACCACTAGATGGCAAGAAAGTAACATTTTTAGAAGATTTTAGGACTTAT